AGGGGGTCGGACTCGATGATCTGTTAAGGTCCCTTCTGACCCTAGCATCTATGAATCCTCGAGCTTTGGTGCAATGGGGGTGATCATCCCCAATTGCCCCTTTCCCAGGAGCCTGGGGGGGTGTCCCCTGGGATCTGCTGGGACAGGAGGCTAGGCTCAGCTGCCCCTGCTTGGGCCAGGCCCCCACCAGCTGAGCAGGGGTCGGCAATAGGGAAGAAGGTGAGAGCAGGGGGCTCAGGTGTGTTTGGGGGCAAGTTCCCCCCCAGGCTAAGCCCATAGCCAGTTATGGCAGCACCGTGCAGGGAAACTGAGGCCAGGGAGGACTCGGAGAGCTGCACAAACACATGCAGACGGTGTATGGCTGTGCTAGGAAGGGGACCCAGGAGTCTGAGCTCCTATCTGGTGCCTTGCCAGCCATGGGGCATGCGTATGCCCCAAGCAGCTGGGACTGGAGGAAAGGAGAGGACTTGCTGCAGGCGGTGGGTGGGGGCTGTGACAGGGCCCATGCAGGGCATGATGGTTGTGCCTGGTGCTGCCAGTAGACCCCGCAGTCACCTCCTGACACTGCCGTTGTGTTGGGGCCGGGGTATCAGCCCTGCTCACGGCAGGGCCGCGCCCTGAAGAAACATGCGGTGGGGCGATAACTCGGGGCTGCGCTGGAGCTTGCATCTGGCCCTATCGGCTTAGTCACACACCAGAGATTTCGCAGCACGGGGCCCCGATAACCCCAGCTTGCACACGGGAGCAGGGCCAGGGCCTGGGAGGCACGTACGCCTCACCCGTGCCCTGCATGGCCTGGGGGTGTGGGAAGCTCCAGCGCCTTGTGCCCGGAGAGGCAACTGCGTTCGGGAAAGAAGCGCAGGGATCCCTATCTGGGCAGCGAGCGGTCTCGGGGCAGGAGCTCCATCATCCGCACCCTCGCCCACATGTGAACCACCCAGGCCTGGGTCTGCTGCCAGCCAGGTCCCCTCCCCTGCCAGCTCTGGTCCCAAGCAAGCGGTCCCATGTCCCTGGGGGAGGTGGTGCAGGACATGGGGGTCTCTGCTGCTGTGCCGGCCTCTGCCGTGCACGGCGCTGTACGTGTGCACCAGCGAGGTGGGGCTGTCTGACCCAGGACATAGCTCTGATGAGCATCCCTGGCCCCATCCTGCCCCAGTGCCCAGGCTGGGCTTACAGCTGGGGAGGGAGAGGCCTGGCTCTACAAGGGGACTGCTTTGGACGGGACTTTGGGCTGGGGGCTGTGGGGCACAGGAGGTGGGGAGGGTCCTGGAGAGATAATAGCACTAGAGGGGGGCGCTCAAGCCACCCCTCAGCTCCCTGGCCCAGGTCCTTTACCATGGCCTCGCACAGCACCGAGGCCCTGCAGCTCAGAGCAGATGTGCAAAAGGACTGTGTGAATGGGCTGGGCCTTAATGAGGTGAGAACTGTTCCTCCAGGATGGCTTCAGAAGAAACCTCTGGCTAATGTGTTTATCCCACACACCCTGCTCAACAAAGCCCTGGGGGGGCAGAGCTGGGGCTAGGCTCCCACCACTTTGCTATGGGTTATCCTGGGGGGCAGGGGGAGGTTCAGGGGGGTTACACCTGGGGGCACAAGGCTTTGGCCAGAGCGGCAGGTGCAGGGGGGGAGCTGGACTCGTTCAGCCTGGAAACAAGGGGACTTAGGAGCAACTCCCAAATCCTGGCTCTAGGTTTTGCAGGGGGGCTGAAAGCAGGGTGCTGCCTGCTCCAGGGCAGCCTTGTGGGGGTCACCAAGGGCCCCTCCAGCTCCCAGCAAAGCTGCCCAAAACGAGCGGCCATGCAGGCAGCAGGGTCCAGAGCCTGGACTTAGCGGAGACCCCCCAGGACCCCACCAGCCTCACTGTCCCATGACCCCAGCTGGGTCCTGGTGCCACAGCCAAGCCAAGCCAGCAGGATGGATGTGACCCCTGCTCCAGGCAGGCCAGCAGGATGGATGTGACCCCCCCCCC